AAAAGCATGCTTTTGATTTTGTTCAAAAGTTGCTGTTCTCATAGCTCACACAAGCTTACTGTGTCTGAATGTAAGCCCTAAATCCCTCCATCACTATATAGAGCGGGGACTATGTAGTGAACTTTATAGTGAATTTGGTTAACTGACCGTTCGGACAGATGATCTCTGCTTTTTGCTCTGTTGGTCATATAACTCCTCCTTCACCGCGCGGTGCCTGCGCCATCTTTGTCATCAGCGACAGCAGGCCGCTATGACAACAAATCCCACAATGCTTTGCTGGAGTGGGCTCCTTACGAAAAATGTACCTGTGGCAGTAAATGCCCCAGTGGCCTAATGGATAAGGCACTGGCCTCCTAAGCCAGGGATTGTGGGTTCGAGTCCCATCTGGGGTAAATACAAGTACAGAGGTAGTATGGAAGAAAACAAATTTCAGTGATTAATGCTGAATTATAGTTTGAAACTAGGTATGGTGTTGGATGGAGACACTCTGCTGCACCTCTCCCAAATTTGGCCACAGACAGGAGATCAAATTTCCTGTGGTACCTTACCTTTTATTTGTATGAAAACAAAGATTCCATCTGGATCTCAACTCTTTTTTCATGTCCCTCCGTTGTCGGACAAACTTGCCCCCACTACCTCGCCGCCTCGACCGTATCTAGACCCACAGCTAGTTCCTGATTGTCCCTCTTGCGTTGTGGCGTGGAATAACAGCACAGACCACACTTCAATAATGGGCATAAATAAAAAATGGCTGCCCTTTAACCCCACACTGCTCCCCAGGCGGCGCACAAGGAGATGGGTTAAATGCAGAGACTTCATTGTGTTGCTCTGATATATTTATTGTCATTACACTGACAGTGTAGTGACAATAAATATAACAATTAAAAAAGCTGATAATGAAAAAAAAAAAGGGAAAAAAAGTACTTTTTACTTTTGAAGTATTACTACTCTTACATATGTCTGTGAAATTGTTGGTTAATCTTCCCACCATGAGTAATCTGGCCTGTTTGATATCAGGTGTAAAATAATTTAAATATAGCTGGAGGTTCTTTATCTTTTAAAATATCAGCATTAACTACTGTAAATATTGGTTTTAAACGTTTATGTTGAAAGAATTATTATAGAAAAGTGTTTCCACTGCCCAATATATTGTATAATCATGTTGATTTATGATATTTCATAGTTTGAAATTCCATAAACTGCACATAACTGAATGCAATTTCCAAGCACTTTTTAAATCTTGAGTAATTTCTTGGATGAATAATTTATTTTGTTTATTTGCCGTTCAATAAGTAAGCATTTTGTGGGGATCTACACTAATAGCTGCAAATGTTAAGCCAAGCAAACCGGTTTTAGTTTTATGAATCGCATTATCTTCACTTCCTGCCCAATAGAGTTGCTCGCTCTTCAATGCTAAACTGAGCAGCCAATAGGAAGCGTTTCAGTCACCGTGCATCAAGAGTGACCGTTGGTGTTGGGTGCAAGTGAAGAGAATGCATGTAATTTATAAATTAAAATCTGAAAAAGAGAAAATTAGAAAAGATAAAAATTGAAAATGTAAAATCTGTTAAAAAAAAAAAGTTTGAAATAAAAAAAAAACTTAAAATCTGAGAAAACTGCTAAATTAATATCAAAACTTTTAAGTGTTTTAAAGTTTCATTTCTGGATTGCATTTTTCCAAAATTTCTGCTAACATTTTCACATTTCTATCTTGGTTTCAACAATAATGGAACAAATTTCACTCCATATAAATCATCTCTGTTGCAACAATGACTGCAGGCTTTCAGAACTCCTTAAAAAACAACTAAAAAATTGTGGCTGCAGTTCAGTTTCAGATTTAAAAAAATAATATAAGCCATAAATATATTTTCTTAATACAGGAAGAATCAGTCAGTGTTTATATCATGTCTGAAAGGCTGTTGAAATGAAGCTAAAAAGCTGTTTTTCTGTTTGGGTGACAGTGAAAACAGGCAGCAGTGAAACACAGAATAAGACATTTATTTCAGAATTTTAAGGACAATATTTATCAGTTAATAGCATTATTTTACTTTATTTTCAGGGTTTTGAGGAGAGTGACGTGACTGTACTGGGAAAACAGAAAAACAGAATTTCCAACTAAACTTCCACCACCTAGAAGCTTGACATCTAATCTAGGTGTATAGCTCTAGCAGCCTACAGTCGGTTTTTGGGGGTAATGAAGCTAAATCGAAACCTTTGGCCTTAGAAGCAAAACAAAAACAGTCTTATTAACAGCTGGGTGTGAATGAATCAGAATACTGCAGCGTCAAAGATCACACATTCAGAAAATTAAAAAAATAAAACTTATGCTTGAACCTTTTGTATAAATAAGACAAAAGTCCACAGATGCTCCAGAGTCAGAGGTCATCAGCAGGAACGTCATGGATGTCTGCAGACTCACTACCGCGTGCATCTCATGAGGGAATGCGCGTGTCAGACTACGCAGCGGGAATCGCTACTGTTGGGTTTGGGGATGCTGATGGGAAAAGGTGAGCTATGGAGGCTTCCGTTGTTTCCTTCCTTTGTTGAAGCATCAAGGCTTCGCCGGCTGGATGGACAGCAGGCTGCCGAATTTAAAATGCTGGATGACGGGGAACTTCTCCAAACACTGCAAACGGAACAAAGAGAGGAGAACGATCAACACCAGTGGTGGAGGACATGCTAAACCTGGAGAGATGGCGACATGCTACAGGCGGCAGCATTTTCCATAAGAACTTTGTTCCAGTGAAGTATTTCTCAGGAAAAGCCTAAAACTCATCCTGGGATTCTGGATCCCATGACGCGTAGCAGCAGTTCTTCTATCCCCTTCTTCCCACCCAGATAATGCAGTTTTCCTGTTCTACCAACCACTGAAAAACCGATATAGAAATAAGTATTTACCCTTAATTTGAGTAGGTAAATGAGTTAGTTTGCCAATGGAATGAGTATTTTTACTCTTAAAATAAGATAATTAGATAATATGCACTTGAAATAAGATGATGCAATTGTGTTTTTTTATTTTAAGTGTAAATGGTTTTGTTCCACTGGCAAAATGTCTCTTTTGCCTCCTCAATCCAATTTTAAGAACAAATGACTTATCTAGATTTCTATTTTTTCCAGTGTACCAGTTTCCCTCTGAGACATCTCAGCCTCCATCTCAATCCAAACTGGTTCCAAACCCAAAGTAAGGAACCACCAAGGCAGCCAGATGCTTGTGCCAGACCCAACAGCCATCACAATGACCATCCAACCGGAACATGGCCTGTCTGGGACTCTAAGGTCTTCCTTTCTCTTCCATCATGGTGGTTCTGGAGTTATAAGATGATGGACCCTTTCCCCCCTTCTCTGATGTTTATTCAGACAATATTTTTTTTGTCATAATCCCGCCAAAAGGACACACACATCATAAAAGATTCAAATGGGTAGTTTATTTCTAAACCAGGTAAACTATTCTCCATACTGATTTCGAACGGGATTCAATACCCTGAAACCCCTGAATATGTCACAAGCCTGAGTGTATGCCCCTTCTCTGGGCCCACGGCTAGCTTTCCACTCGCCCGTAGCCACAGTCCTGCCTACCAGCTGAACTCCTTCTGGGCTCCTAAACGTTTGTGACTTTGATGGTGGAGCAAACTAGACAAAGAAAACTGCTTGTTGGCTACTTTTTAGGAAATCCCACCTCTTGAGGCAGTTCTTTTTTCTTCCCATTTGGGAAGAAAAAACACTGGCAAGAAGTTGTGGCCTAGTGGTTAGGGCATAGAGCTTGGAATCCTGAGGTTGTGAGTTTAAGCCCCACTCCCATAGACTGCCACTCGGGGTCTCTGAGCAAGACCTTTACCCCCCCCTTGTTCCCGGGAACTTGTTCCCCAGGGGGTTGGTTTGATTGCGGTTTTGGGTTCATTGATATTTGCAGATAACGTTAACAAAGCATCGTCAAGCTAACTGCCGTTCTCCTAAACAGTTCAAATTGGTTAAGTAGCGGTTTGGGTTATGGAGCATCTTTGCTTCTGACGATTGTTTATTCTCACTCCTGTTGACTCTATTCATTAGATATCTAGACAGTCTTTAGCCCCATTTCCACTACCCTTTTGAAAACGTGATCGTTCCAAGCACGGTAACAGAGATAACTGTTGAGTGAAAATGGAACGCACAACTGAACCGGACCGCGCCAGACCCAACCGAACCGCGCTAACATGGTACTAGTTCATCAATAGGGTTCGGCACGGTTCAGTTCTGTCTCAGTTCTCAGATAACAAAGAGCACATGAGCCGACCGCGTCATCTCCTTACAGTCAGGCTCCGTAATCAGGAAATTTCAGACATTCATTAAAATCCTAGCTTCCCTACCGTGCCACACGACTTCCAGTGATGATTCTGATTAGCAGTTAAGATGAACCTCAACGTCTGTTGTTTCCTGCGTCAGTAAGCCCTGATTAGACGATCGTTATCGTATCCACTTCCCAAATGCCGACTCTGTCAAGTAAATTCACCAAAGGCTGCTTTCTTCCCCTGAATCTCCGCAAACTTCCAGAATATTAAAGGCACGGCCATGTTGGGTTTTCTTGTTTACCTCTATAGAGCAGTAGTACCGTAGTTTGCCACTAGGAGGCGAAGAATCGTGCTAGCGTGGTGTGTAAATGGTCATAAGGAACAGAGCTCGGCATAGATCGGTTTCAAAGGGTCATGTATATGGGGCTTTTGTGTTATTATAAACGGATTTTTAATTATCTGGATCAGTTGCTTGTGGTAGTTTGTTAAATTTAACCCTTTTTGTACCCAGCTCCCGCTGGCATCTGTGGTCATCTTCTGCCTCGACTATTGGAAAGCCATATTAGCTTTTCTCCCAGCTTGTCTACTAAAATACTCTACCAAATGTTTACGTCATGATTCAGTTTTTCTGGTAACAAAGGATTTGTCAGCATCTACACCATCAAGACAATCCAGACTCTTTTTTTGTTGTTTTTCAATGGTAGAGTGACCTACCTGGTACTGCTGGAATCAGAGCATCAGAGCTCTTCTGTCCCTTCCCTCCCTCTATGCCTGCTCTTTCTACACCTCCATTTCTGGCAGAATAGAACCAGTTGTCTTCCTTGTAAGCAACTTTTTGTTAGCTTTGGTATGAGCTACACTCTTTCCTCCATCTTTTTAACGCATGAACTGAAACAAAATTCAAGATTAAATGTTCTTTTCCTGAGTTATCTAAAAAAAAAAAAAAGTCACAACCTTCGGAGAAAAAAAACAAACTAAACCACCAGATTCTTCCTTAACTCTGTGATAAAGACATATCCATGCAAAGGAAGCTTATTTATCCCAAAGGCAGATTTTGAATAGAATTTGAGACTGATTAGTTTATGAGGTGGCCGTCCCATTTCCAGGCTTTAAACTCTTTAACATTCTGTGCTGGGAACAGGCCAGGACGGCAGCCGTAGCCCCTCCGTTCTCACTCAGGCCTTAGGAATGTGTTTGGAATGAGGTTTCAATTGTCTGCCTGAAAAAGGCATGGAGGTCCCAGGAAAAAATGTGGTCTTGTTGGCACCAAAATCCCTGCTAGAAATGACCTTTACCCAGAGCGCTTGTACAGGCCCATACCATGATAGAACCACTTACCATCACCGAGCCAGGTTGTAAGGACTGAAGAGCAAGTAAAATAAAAACATATGCTTAGTTGTCTTATTATGTAAATTTAAGTCATTTAGCTGGAATATATTAAAGATTAGGATTGGTTTCCTGTCGTCTACAATACAAGTTGAGACGTTGATTACAAGTAAGAATGTTACTACTTTGTGTACGAAAAAATAATAAATTACAAATTTATGAGCGTAAAATCCTTAATCGAACAATATAACATACGTGTTCAAAACAAAAGGTCGGCAAAAATGCAACGACTGATCAATGATTCTGGTTTGGTTTTCATCCCCTTTTTTTTGTCGTTGACAAAAATTCTGGTGCAATACCGCCTCCTACTGGTGTGGAGTGCAACAGCAGCTTTAGGGTTTTTAGGTTTATACTCGTAATTTTTATAAATTTTTTTATTCATACCTGTTTTGCTGCAAAGTTGTAACTTCTAAAATTTTATTGTTAAATAAAACAGCCAAGGTCACATATATGTACTTTATTGGCTTAAAATTCCAAATTCAGTGTTTCAGGGCTGCGATTATTAAGATGACAGATTAACTGATTAATCTGTCGATAGTTTTTTTTTTTTATTAATCGATTAATAGTCTGAAAGCCAAAGGTTCTTTATATAAGACTTTAACCAGGTGAAACTCAAACTTTTCTACTTGAGTTCTGGATAGAGCATTTTTATCTTGAATGCAAAATCTTGCTATGATGGATCGCTATGTCAGCTACAGGTACGGTTTAGATTGTCTATACTCCAGTTAGCGATTCATCGTTTACTAAATTATCTTGTAATTATTTAAATAATCAATTAATCACAATTATTCGGATTAATTGTTTAAACCCTAATGTATTCATGTCTGTCGATTGCCTATGAACAGAAACTCTTATTACATAAAAATCTACAACATATACATCTAACATGTAATTTTCTTTTAAACTCGATCGGATCCACTTTTTTATATTTTAATCAACTGACTTTGGCTCTGCTCAAGATTAATGTGGATTTGGAGAAGTAAGCTGCAAAAATAGGACCGCTGGATTTTAGCTAAGGACACCACGGTACACGGCGTGGGTCTGCTCTGACTGACTGGAGTCGCTGCCATTAGCACAGGCACGCCTACGTACGGCTTCCAATATGGTGGAGCTGAGGGGTAAAGTCTGGGTCTTTAACTGTTCCATAGATCAGAGGAAAATTGGTTGGAAATATAAACACCTTTGATACTGTTTAACCGCCTTAATGGATCTAAAAGCAGACAAAGTCCAAAGAAAAACTTATAACTTCAGAAAGGTTAAAAAACTGTTATTTTACAAGATAAAAAGTCTACTTTAAAGAAGAAAAAAAAAGCAATGATGCCTAAATCAGGTGTTAACAAGACTGTATGGTGACAGGAAGCCTTCGGCCCCCGAGTATCAACTCTGACCCGTGTCACTGGTCTCACTTGTCTTTCACATTGACCGTGTTCAAATGGTCTGCAGAGCAGCTCAGAGGAGACTCTTTGTGTGGACTGCCACAGACCCATTTTATTGGGGAGCCGCAGTGGGGGTCTGCGGTGCTGGGCGGCTGCAGTGGGGGCGGGGGAACACAGTCGAACTGAACAGTCTGTCGGTGAGGTGACGCTGTAGGTCATGATCATCGAGGCAGAACTGGGTGGAAAAGCACGCCTCAGAGACCCTCTGGCTGAGATGATATTAGATCAATGTTTGGAAATCAAAAGGTCAAAGGGTCACAGAGTAGAGAATAAATAATACCTTAAATGGTCAAATTGCCCATAATTTGTCATAACTATCAATTAATTAATCAAGTCACCCATAAAAAATATAAGAAAGAGTTCAACAAAATATTAACCAAAGCTTTAATGTTTTGGCATCTGATACGGTTTAAGATCATTAATTTAAGCTAACTGCCAAGATTAATGACAAAAGTGAGTACAACTCAATAGAGAATGCTCGGTCTACCATAAACGGTGAATAAGTAAAAATGAAAATTACTTCATCAATTAATTCTGGT